CAGAGTAAGCAATCGCAGAGTTAGGTTGATAGCAGTCGATGCGCTCGAGCCGGAATAGGGGTTGACCAGAAGCAAAGGAGAAGAGTATAATGTTTCTGGCCTGGCAGCTTACGAGGGTCTTCTATCATCATCCATCCCATGTTGTAGCTGATAGGCAGAAAGCATCTTTCGGTAGTTCGTAGGTTCGTTCAGGAAGCAGAGGTAATACTATAATCGCGGGCAGTGTCGAGCTCTCTTTCTCTAAGCACTGGATCTTACCACCCAGCATTCATGCCACTTCCTAAGACTACGTTCCATCCGTCACGTTTCTTTTTTGGCTTTTTGACATCAAAGAACCTTAGAACTCCGAGTTTGACTGTGCCGTCCTCCTCTTTCGCGCTTAGGCTGATAAGCATCACGCGACGGCTCCCCAATAGAGTCGAGTACATAGCAAGTCGACCCCTATTTTGATGAAAAGTGCCCTGTCTTTCTGTGGTAATACGTGAAGTTGACCGTCTTTTCAGGTCGTACTGACTGATGTGTACATCACAGTCGCACGCCCTTTATGTAGTATAGTAAGTGAGCGAACCAAGAAAGAAGCATAGATGGAGCATCATGTCTCTATATCATTATGGAAGACTGTAGCTATCCTTCTCGAACGCGCTGGCAGCGAATCTAACTGGTTCATCAGGTCAGCCCGAGTTATCCCGGCGAACTCTAGAGGCAACCGCGCTAGTCATCAAGATAGAGGCAGAGTCCACTGTTTATTGGGATATGATCCATGCCTCCTCATCCCCCGCATGCACTCTTCTCACTCTGCAACCACGAGGCTGCGAGTTATGACGGCTATGTGTGTACTTATGTCTAACATCATTTGCTCATGTGTTAAAGAAACAAAACTGGCGCTGGCAAAACGGATACTGAGACATGAACCGACAAGCTAGCTTAGATCAAGCGCAAAGAGAAATGAATTTTTCGTCATTCGCGGATCACTCTCGAAAGTTCTACAAGCCTGTTTGTTTAGCTTAGACGACACGATTTAGATGCTTCAATTAGGTTGACCTATAGTTTCCTAGTCTTTATCATAGCGGGAGCCTCATTTCAGTAAGTCGCCTTACTTACATGAAGGAAAAGCCTGAAGGCAACCCCCTCGTGAGCACAGTAGGGATTTCTTTACAACTTTGTGGGTGTTTGAGACATCCGGCCAACGCAGCATTTAAAGTTGTATGATGTTTGATTGCGATCCGACGGAACGAACTTTATCCTCTATTCTTATTCCACCCAGTGAAGCAAGGCTGCTCTTCATCTTGGCTCTATATAGCGTTTTTATGGCTATGGCTTACGCACCCAGAGAGAAGACTTCCAAACATCCTTTCCTCGACTCAATATTGCATTACGGAATGAGCAGCAAATCTAATAAGAACTGACGTCAGGAAGCAACAAAGCCTTGTAGGGACGTGGGAGAGTCGGATATCAATGAGTTGAAGCGTTTTTCTTCTCGGCGCGTCCGGTGGTGTTTGTTTTTGGAAGAAGCGGCGGAGTCTCGCGGTGACAACGCTACAGAGATGAGTGCAGAAGCAATTTATCCAGATCTCACCGGAGAAGAGAGGGAAAGATGAGACGCAGTCCCCATGGTCTATAGCAATCAGAAGAACAGTTTTCGATTGGACGAAAAGATCGTGTCTTTATATAGAAAAACGAATACTTATTTGAATTGAAGAATGAGAAATTGTTTTTTAAGGGATTAACAGCAGCCTAAATAGGGAAGGTGCCGTTGGAGGTTGACACACATTCCCGAGGTGCTGTAGGCAGCCTGATGTTTATTCTATGTTTTCAGTACCAGACATAGCCTAATTCAGTAACGTAGGCGTCACGGTTAAGAAGATTTCGTGTGAGACAGGTGGCACTAAGAAAGTAGTCCAAGTTGATGACTATGATTCGTACATCGCTGGTACACAGGTGCTTTGTTCTGTGCTACTAAGGTAGCACAGGACAGGCATTTCCTTATTGCGGATACACCGATCTTTATTGATAGGGCTAGGGCAGTAGACCTAGATGAGCGTTCAGTTACACGGGATACTTGGTTTACACTAAGGGGAGGGGCGACAGCTGGCAGTGGAGGTCTAGCTACTACTACGAGTTCCCGCACAGCATCTCCACATCTGGGCTTTTCTTCAAGCTTCATACAGCCTACAAGACAATTAATCAACAGCTGCTAACGGAGATTGATCAGCTTCAGGCTTTCAAGCAAAATTAAGCGTCTGCGCCACTCATGTGGAAAAAAAGCCTATATCTTGTCGTGTATACTTGGGGTCTAGCGGCGCTATTTCGCCATGTGAGGCAACTTCAGGACCATCTCCGCTAATCGTCGAGTTAGGTAACCCTCGACCTTGAAAGAGTATTAGTAAGGCAAGGTCGCTTAGGTTTATAAGAATCACTCTATACGGAAGAGCCAACTCATAGTAATCAGGCAGTGACATGGATGCTGACTACGTTTTAATGCCGATGTTAGGCTCCTCGATTGCATATCATTGGAGAATTCAAAAGGCATGCTGCCCACTATGCCAAACAAAGGTCCGCGAGGGGAGGTAGCGAAGAAAACGCCCTTTACTAGTAAGGGGCGCTTGCCTGAACCTCGCGCTCCTGAAACAACGCTATTTTTTTATTTCAAAGCAAGAGGCCACAGCGTGGTTTCTAGCCCATGTAATAAGAGGGCAGGGGATCAACTCTTTCGTGGAGATGGCGCAAATTCTTCTGTGTTTGAAAGGGGAGTGCTCGCTCTGTAAAGCGCTGTGTTAAGCCCTCGAAAAGAAACTAGACCTTTACTCCTTAATTGAAGAGTCGTTACTGTCCTTTAACCACCTACATGCGCTCGCCGAGCTTAGCTTTTGACTTGGTTATTGGCCTTTTTAATCGCTCTCGAGTTGCTTTAATGTGACATGTACCTTGTTCGCATTGGCTTTGCTCATTTTTTTTTCGTTTCTTTTCTTTACGGATCCCTCGAAGTAGGAAAGAAGAAGGCAATGAGAAATTTTTTCAATAAATAAGAAATAGTAGTATCTGTAAGTGCAGTGTGGTGAAAGAATGCTGGTGACTTGGAGTAAAGGAGCTTGAATAGACTCGAAATCATATATAGAAACTAAGGCTGCGGCAGCCAAGTTGCCTTTGGTTTGTTGCGAGCCTGTCAAACCATAGGCACCTTACGCCCCCTTTCTTTTTTCTGAATTAGAAAGAACGGCGGGGGTCAGAAAGACAAAGAAAGGGATCAGGGCTTTATGATCGGAGAAAGGAGGGCGTGGTTTGAATTGTTCACTGGATGTCGGTGCGAGACCCTGTAGAAGGAGACGCCGAACACTAAGAGCGCTTTCACACATGAAATCGACAAACTAAATCAAGTACGATAATCGGTCATTCGTTTATAGAAAACGAAAACAAACCGACTTTCTATCTCGGCCTGAGGTATATGAAGAATTGCTGTTTTTTTGGTCCCTTTCGTCCAGGTGCGGACATGTCTTTTCTATGTCGAAGAACACGGTTCGTTCCCGTAAGGGATAGGTACTTATTTCGGCGGCATGGCGGTATCATTGCTGAGAGTGATTCGCTCTGCTTATCTGGCTGGAAAGGTTTGGATCGCTGAGGTCTCCTCTCTCCGGCATGCGATTAACGAGATTGAGATTCACCACTTCTCAGTAATGGACTTCCTTGACTTTCTTTCCTTAGCTGTAGATGTCCTTCCAATCAAGATTCTCAGAACTCCGCACAGAAGGATTTCAATGCATGTGCGTTCTTTCTTCCTCCTCTCAGCCACACAATCTCTTTCGCTTGCGCCCCTCCTTTTTTTATGTGCACGTCTCTCAATGGCGTAGAGTGATTTGATGGAGATGGCTTTGTACCGGTCATTTTTATATCCTATTCTTCTGGCCTAGTTTTTTTGTTGGATCAAAGTCGGCAGGTGATCCGTCCTTTCTCCTCTGCCGTAGGCGTTCACTCGCATTACTCTCTCTCCACTTACGTGGAATCGACGTTCCAAGGCCGCCAAGAGCAGAAGGTTCCTCAGTCAGTTCTTTTGCATATCTAATAGATAGAATTTGCATTTCGTTATTCCTTCTTTCAATTTATGTGGTCGAAGCACCACTACACCAGGTGGTAATAAATTCAGTGTAGTGTATCGTTCGCAGCCTTCATTCCTGCCTGCTCGCTTCCACACACGCCTTGCATTCTGCACGGTTGCCCTTCCATCTCCCCTTATTTAATGGTGGAGGGATTCCATCGGGCTGTAGCTATGCAGCTACAGGGATTCCATCGCCTGCTCCCGCTTAGATAGAACAGGAGCCCTGCCAGAACTAGAACAGGCCTTTATTTAAGATATAGGGCAATTTTCTCGCTTATACAAGACAGACCGTCGACTGCCGCAAATCAAGTATTATACGCCGCCCTGCCCCATAGATGAGTAATAGAGCACCTGCTCTGTCATGCAGGCTCCCACGCTGAATAACATGGGAGCTGTTTGCCTTTGGTAAAGATGGGGAACACCTGCTCGCTGACCCCTATCTTCCTTCCTATGGACGACCAAAAGCAGGGTGCATGGGACCAACACTTCTTTTTCTCGCCACGCCACCACTTCATTCAATCAATCATATGTTCTATTCCGGGACACTGGCATTCATGACTTTATTCTTTCTTGGTGGGGACTTTCTTCAAAGGCCGGCTTATTACGCTGCTTACTTATCTAATCTAACGTATACGCTTCGCTACGCTTACTCACTTTCTTTCAAGACAAAGAGGATAGCGCGCTTCTTACACCACCACTTCTAAGAGACCACTCTTCTACTTTGAAAGCGCTACAGCTAACCGGTTGCTTGGTACCAAGTGGTTGGTTGGCAAAAAAAAAATGCTTTCTGCTTTAGCTGCCGCTTTTTTTCAACACAGAGCCGGAATAACGGCCGGCATAGAAGTCTCTTGCACGCAAGGAGATGCTGCAGCTGCTGGATGTCATGGTTCCGGGCGATCCTTCTATCTGGAACAATCGAGGGCACTGACTGACTGCATCAATCATCGCTCAGTGAGCTATTAATTGCCGCCAATAGCGCTTCGCTTGCACGCAAGGCGGCAAGCCAAGCCAGGTAGACGCGCGCGGGCGAAGGAGATGCATTTGAGTACTGGTGGTACTGGACAAGCTCTAGGGGAATAATCTCTTTCTTATTTCGCAAGCACCTGTCTTTCCCATGACGACTAGGAACGGGCAAATCAAGAATTTCACTTCGAATTCCGGACCTCAACATCCTGCTGCTCATGGTGTTTCACGATCAGTATTGGAAATGAACGAGAAGTGGTGGAACGTGCGGAACCACATATTGGATCACTCCAGTGCGGCACGAAGCCGCTGACGCTGAGTAGGCTCCTATGCGCTAGCTATGCCCTGCTCGGTCCCCGGCAGGGTGGGGATTCCGTACGTAGCGCGTCATGAGCATCGGGCAAAGGGGCGGTTGAGCAACTCAAGCGAACCGCCCCACCTTTTGATAGGGATAGAAGGGAGAAGGTTGTGAAGGTGGCCTCGTTATCCACACATCGTCGGATGAATGGGAGGCGCTGTTAAGCCCTGGGTTTTCACGAGCGTTGGCGGGTCCTGGAGTGCCCGTCAAGGGCGCTAGCGCATACCCCGGGTGATCATCACCACCTGCACCTCACATCTCGGCACAGTGGAACGTGTAACCCGCCTGCTGTCCAAGTCAACTACTTAATTTCCTGTAATCCATAGCGCCTAAAAGAACGTAGCAGCAAGGGACAACCCACCCATACAGACAGCCTGGGGAGGATGGCACTACTGGCAAAGACCGTCTGGCGAAAACGCCGCAGGCGCGAAGCGTGGTAGGCCTGCGCCGGGGAGCATAGGGAGGAAAGGGAGCCCGGACGGTGGAAGAGCCAGGGGAGGCCGGGTCATTTGACGGAAATGGAAGGCTTTTTTTTCCGAGCGGCTCATTCATTCTTTGAAAAAGAGGGAGGGAGCGAGCCAATGGATCAATGAATAGATAGAGTCAACGGTAGACAACAGCGCTGCCTACACGCGAATTAGCTTCCGAGGTCGAGCAGTCTCAATTTCAAAAAGGATTTTCGAATGAATGCTGGGCTGGGCCACCTAGAATGGCGTGAGCCGCATGCGGGAGACCCGCACGTACGGTTTTCAGGGGGATCCGGCCGAAAGACCGGCCGCGGCGCCACCCGACTAGAGGGACTGAGAAATTATAGAGTACAAAACTTATCTTCAAGCTTTACCTTATCTGATCGTTCAGAGGGCGATGCGGAGTCACTGAATGAAGTCTCCGTTTCTTTCGGAGGTGCTGACCGCCAGCAAGGCAGATATGACTAAGTGACATATTGAATATGGCGACGACAACAGCATGTCGTATAAGGAGATAACAGGTGGAAGAGCCAACGACCCACTAAGACTCACGTATCTACAACTACATCCCCGAGCGGCAGTCAAACGGGGGCGTGAATGCGAGATGCCAGCGGAATGATCGGCCGGACAGAGGCTAGGGCTGCTTCCTTCCCACCGCGTCCTTCCTTGTGTGTCGGAGATACAAAGCGAGTGCACCGGAAAAGAACGGGAACTGGCTCGATCTATTCCATGGCGAAGCATCCGAAGCATAACTGCACACTCACACGATCTTTGCCGAGAGATAGGAGCATTCGGTGGAACCGGTGAACTACACTTGCTTCTTGATAGATGTGTGGGACAGAGGGCTCGTGGTACCTGCTGCCCACCCATTCTTCACGCTTTGATAACCGTGTGAACGGAGAGTGGGCAGAGCAAAAAGGGAAGGAGGTCCTCATACGGAGTCGCACACTTGAGCAGTGCGGGAGACTGGAGAATGGGTCGAGTAAACTCCCTTGGGGCGAGAAAATCGCAGACGAAGTCTCTTTTTTTTTCTTTCACTTTCTTTTTTCTTAGTGATTGGCGCCTTGGTATGTTATAAAAAATGGAAGGCAGAGGTAAGTACTGCAATGGCGAAGAGAGACGGCTCGGTAGGGAAGGAATGGTCAATCGTCAATCAAGGATGACTTCTTTGTTTGTTGGCGAAACGATGGGGAGGGAGAAACCACGCCAGTGATTCTCTGAGCCGGTCTTTATTCCAATGCCTCGGGAAACTGGTCGAGATAGATGACAGCACCTTTTTATCCTCTTCCTTACCGGGAAGGCGCACTTCTCTTCTTCTTCTGGCCTTCACCTCCGCGCCCGGCCCGGAAATAGAACCCAGCCCCCCCTTCTGATCCATTCATTTCTGCAAGCAGGCGGGATCCAGAGCTAAGCCCCTCCTATTCGAGCCGGATGGCCTCGCCCCACAAGCACCCAACCTTCCTTTTGCTCTTCCTTCGGTTTGGCTCCACGAACGCGCCACACTAGGAGCCCCACTCATATTCAAAAGGCGCTCTGCTTGTCACGACGATTATAATAAGTCGTTACGCTGCCATTTTCCAATATCATGAATTAGCATGGCCCGGGGCTAAGGTAACTCCAGTGGGAGAGCCCGTTTATGGGTGACCTTATTGCACGGTTCAGAGAGCACTTGTGTATGTGATGCAAGTGAACGTGTACGAAAAAGCTGTCGTAAAGATTTCGTTCGTTCGTTCCGTCGTCGTGACCCTATCTATGTTTCTACGATGGCCAAAGCACACACTCAAATCTCTCTTCTTTGTG